GCTGCCCGTCTTAAATTCACCTGCAAAATCATTTGCGGTGACTTCAACCTCCCTGGAATCAACTGGCGGACACATTCCGGTCCACTACGATTTGATAGCTTACTTGGTCCCCGAGACACACATGGTTGGCAACATGTGCACCTGCCTACTAGGAACCACAACATTCTCAATTTGGTATTTTGTCACGATGTCACCCCAACATCTGTGTCTGTCTGCGAAACGTTTCACAACAGTGACCATAAAATTGTCCTCTGCACCCTTCCGTTTTTTGCTAAATGTGACAAATCTAAAACAGTAAACCGTTTTCAATACAGAGACTATAAACATGCTGACTGGGACAGCTTTCGGTTTCTAATTCAGCACTCCGACTGGACTGACTTTTTTTCATGTCTTGAACTTCCTGATGCATTACAAATATTCAACGTCACCATCAAATCAGCTCTAGACACGACTATCCCACTCAAAACGTCTTTCAAAATAGTTACTCCTCATATCACATACAAAGCTATGGCTAAACTACGTCAACTAAAACGGGCGTATTGCAAATCTAAGGACTTCAGCATCCTGTACCAAATTTACGCTATACTTGAAGGTGTAAAATATCAAAATAAAGTGCGTAGGCAAATCGAAGAAAATAATGCTCTCGCTACTGTGTGTAAGTCCCAAAACCTCTGTCGTTTGCTTAACAAACGCATAAAAAATGACTGAGATCGCAAAATTCATTATATACTACAAGATGGACAGACTTATTATGACGAAGCTGTTATTTGCGAATTGTTTAGTACATGGTTCTCCCTCAATCTGAACACATCTCCTACCCCCGATACTAACATTAACTGTAGCAGCATGCATAACCTTTGTACCATCAAATTTGATCTTAACAATATTCAATCCGCCATTAAAACCCTTAAACCCAATGGCAGCTGTGGTGCAGATGAGATACCTTCCATACATTTTAAAAGGGCAGGACCGAACCTTTCAGCGCTCTTGCTCAAAATTTTTACCTAATCCCTTGAGTCTGGTACATACCATGTATCATGGAAGTTGACTCATATTGTCCCAGTACATAAATCTGGACCGAAAGACTTAATCCAAAACTACAGACCGGTTAATATCACTCCAGTTATATCACGTGTGATGGAGAAAGTGATAAAAGATCAACTATCTGATCACTTACTCAGGGAAGGTCACATTGACCCCTCTCAACATGGCTTCATTAGAACTAGGTCATGCACCACATGTCTTTTAGATTTCTTTAATGAGGTTACCAGCATACGCGATCAAAAGCAACTAGTAATCGTGTTGTATTTTGATATCAAAAAGGCTTTCGATAAGGTACCTCACAGTCTCTTAATCAACAGACTTCAGTCCGTCGGTATTAGTGGCCACCTGTTGCAATGAATTAGGTCGTTCCTCACAGATAGATATCAGATTACCAAAATCAACTCACATACATCTACACCTCGACCGATTTCCAGTGGTGTTGTGCAGGGCAGTGTTTTGGGTCCACTACTTTTCATAATCTACATCAACAGCATATGCAGTTGTTTCAACACTGGTAAAACCTACCTCTATGCGGACGACCAAAAAGTAATTTATCAAACTAGCAAATCTGACTTAGGAAACTTGTTGCACACAATCCAGCACGAACTGAATACTGTAGATGTCTGGTGTAAGCAATGGAACCTTGAACTTAATACTGAGAAGTGTGGCTGGATGTGTTTCGGAGACACGTCTCCAAAATTAGATCTCACTGTCAACAGGAATGTATTGCCCAAACTCACATCCGTAACTGATCTTGGAGTGCATTATTCGCACAACCTTAACTTCTCCGAACATATCTCCAATAAAGTTTCCCGAATGAGAAGAATGCTTGGTTTCATCTTTCGTAACTTCCTTCATAGAGAATCCAGAACAATTCTCTATAAAACATGCGTAAGACCTATTGCTGAATACTGCTCTTTCTTATTTTCTAACCTACGCCTGTCTGATATGTTGAAGCTTGAAGGAATACAAAGGAAATTTACTCGTAAAGTCTTAAATCATAGCTCACTCATTGACTATCCAACCCGATGTATTGAACTCGGGCTCGATCCATTATGGAAAAGAAGGCTTAAGTCCAATCTGATCCTTTACTTTAAACTCTTGCACAAGCTCACATATTCCTCCTGCAGTTTAGTCCTTATCCATGGCCCTTGTACACATAACCTTCGAGATAAAGTATCTACGGTCAAACTTGAGAAGTATAGATCCAAAACTCGAGAAAACTTCTTCCTCTCTAAGTATGCACTTATATGGAATAGGCTTCCCTCAAAAATACGCATGGCAAGTGGGTTACATGAGTTTGTTCAACTTCTTAATGATGCTCTCAGTTGCACTGACTCTTCTGCATTCGTGAACTCACTCGCACCCTGCTTTCATATTAATAGCTCTGCATGCACTTTAAACAGAATGAACCCAGTGCTGCGTCTTATTTAGTTATTTTTACACTCCCAAGTAGCACTAATTTTTCTAGTTGAATATAAATCTCTTTAGTTTTTATTTGAAGTAGAAAGGTTACTCTATTCACTGGGTCGATCGACATTGTTCAACCGTAAACTGGTTGATTAGAATGCACTCAACTCTCCTGGGCGCAACCTTATCAACACTTACAACTGTGTGAGTTCCACATTGCCTATTATCAATTATGCTGTTCTCTTTTACACGCTATTGACTTACCTAGGCCCCTTAGTGTTATCTATTGCTCAACTTTTAACCGTGATACTCTTTATATCTCCTGCTAAGCTAGTTAGGTACATCTTCCCCACTACATTCTAAATGCTTATATCTTGTTTGAAAATTCTTACTATTTCTCCATAACTGTTAACTGTATAGCATTGATGCCTAACCAATAGTTCATAAGTTGTAACAGCCAGACGAGTTTGTGAAAGGAACTTGCAGAAATAGTGTTTCTCAACAGGATGCGAGACATAGAACACCAAGTAGAACTCAATAGCTTCTTTTGAACATTTAACATGAGCCTAACAACACAAAAGGAGGGAGGGTGGAGTTACTGACAAGCAAACATTGATGTTGTGGGCGATAACTTCAAACCACCCATGTTTGTGGGGCAGAACATTTTGTTTGCTTTCGGCTCCTTACATTGATGGGGCGACTAATCAGTAACACTGAGGTTGCTCTTATACGCTTGCTACTTCTGTGGTTCATGTTTCCGAAACTATGCTGAGGTCGCTATTCTGTCGAGACACCCGCAACATTCTTACTCAGGCGCTTACAGTAGGACTTAGAGGTTGGCAATCAATAATAATAATAATAAAGAAAAAAACAGTTAGACAGTGCGAGATTTTGTTCATCAAAGTTTTATTTTTACAAACTCTAATCTTTCAACTAGAGTTTCGATTTCAACGTACATAAATCCAGCTTCTTACTTCGACTTCTCTTCTATCCACCTGACACTGCACAACTCTCCCTTCTTTTTGCTGTACTCCTTTATCTGTGTATTATATTCTTATATTCCCATAATTTACTTTAATTTAAGTGGTCAGTATGAATTTTATCTTGACTTACTACTGTATTGACTACTTCAACATGACAGGTTAAGTAGTGCTTTGGTTATATATATACACTTGCCACATTGCTGCCTTTTTCTCCCTCTCTTCTCCTTTTCAGAACCCCATTCACGGTGGGAAATCCTTGGCGACTCTAGGGAACATGCCCCCTATGTACATGACTGTCTGGATCACAGCCCCTATCAAGCGCGTTCCATATGACCTTTCCCAACTAATTCACTATTGATCTCGGCAAATCGCCAAAAGAACCTACTGTGCACTCTCCTTATTTGTACTGTACTATTGAAAATGTGGCTGTATAATACTGTTTCTGTCAGTGATATGGTGTAAATATGCAATCAGAAACTGACTCTTATACTTAATTTAACTGCTATAACTTTTACAGTAAATGAGGAAATATTTGTGACAATTTGATCTGGCCTCTAAAGTTGGGTGACTCTAGTAACGTAGTTATTTGAGAATAAATATATTATTATTATTATTACTCGAACAAGACCTTAAATGTCTGTTTCCCAGGAACACTGACCTGGAAGTCATCCTTAGCTTTTGGTGGTGACCGAATCGAGATTGCCTACGATCAACACTAAATGCTCAATACTAAGCCGTCACAAATTATAGAAATAAATCGAGGGTCGAATATTTATTTGAAGGAGAAAGTATGCGTTACATCGTACAACAATTTATGAAAGATGGAGGCAACGCGAAAAAGAACGTTGGGCGTAAGTTAGTGTTTTCTGTACAGTTAAACAAAACAAGTACGATAAGTGTTTGTTTTTCACTAATCACGTTTTCTTCGTATAAGTGTTCCACTACAAGCTAAGACTTGAAAAACCTTGTTAAATGTCTAGTGGTAGCTGCTAACACATAGGAATCGTCAGGTGAATTCACAGATTCTATAGCCGCTTAGATGCTATGATTTGGATTTGTAGTATTAGTTTGCTCCAAACTGACGTGGTATTTGCAGATGCGCAGCGTGCTATTGGTGGAGACTCAAACACCCTCGAACCAGTTTATCCATGGAATCCCAAAGCTGCCGTATGACGAGAAGCTGGCTAAATTTAACCTGCTGTTCTAGGTCAAATAGAAGGACTAGAGGTGACTTGATCATAATTTTTAGATTGCCTTACAGCGAAATTGTGTCTGATATACTTCTTATTTTCGAAGAGAGTCTAGAAGCCTTCGGATAAACACAACAAATTACTTTGGGAACTGGTAGTTTTGACAGCCAACTTTCCTGTCAAATTACCAACGAATGAAACTCCTTTCCTCATCTCCTAACTGAATCTTCATCTGTCACAGCATTCAAAAGAAATTTCGGTCTCCAAAATACCACCATTACCAGGGCCTACAAAATGAACATAGCCTTCTGTCCTTTATAGACTAAAACAAACCGAATCCACGCGGTAATTACGAAACTTTTGGTCGGTTGCAATGACAAGTGCGGTACGCAAGAAACTTGTCATTGTTGGAGATGGAGCATGTGGGAAAACTTGTCTACTTATTGTATTCAGTAAAGACCAGTTTCCTGAAGTTTATGTTCCTACCGTATTCGAAAACTATGTTGCAGATATCGAAGTCGAAAATAAACAAGTAGGTGTAATATAATTTTTCAAAATTGTAGGTCGAATTAGCACTCTGGGACACAGCTGGTCAAGAAGATTATGATAGATTACGACCGCTTTCTTATCCTGATACGGATGTCGTTTTGATATGTTATAGCATTGACACTCCTGATAGTTTAGCAAATATTCCTGAGAAATGGATACCAGAAGTAGGTACTAAGATTCCTTAAATTTTATTTAAGATCAAACATTTTTGTCCAAATGTCCCTATTATTTTAGTTGGAAACAAAAAGGATTTGCGAGATGACGAGGCTACAAAGAATGAGCTACGCAGAATGAAGCAGGAAACTGTCTCTTTCGAACAAGGCCGTGCAATGGCTGCACGGATTGGTGCTGACCAATTCTTTGAATGTTCAGGTACTTTTGTTATTGCTGGCTAGCCTTCTTTAGCTAAAACTAAGGTAGGAGTTCGCGAAGTTTTTGAGGAGGCTACTAAAATAGCTCTGAAATCAAAGAAAAGGAAGAAAAGGGCGTGTGATATAATTTAAGTCTCGGTTTCCCCTAATTTATTTAAATCTGATTCTCCGGTCTTGAAAATTTACATTCCCTTCCCATTTCTTGCTTAAGAGCCTAAATTTCTACTATTGTCTGCTTGCTTCCTTGACGATCATACTTCGGAATTATCAAGAAGACAATCCATTCCACGGCAATATTTATCAGTTGTTTTTATCATGATATTAAGAAAAATTTTTAACTTTGTTTTCAGCGCACATGCGTTTTAACTATAACAAAATACACAAAGCTTATATTACTAATAATTTTTTGTTGCAGGATTGTGTTAAATAATTGTTACACGTCTACTTAATGTGTTATGCTGCGTATATTTACAGGTGCAAGGTGGAAAGTTGTCGTACTAATTATCATTTGGTTACCTATTGTTACAACTCGAGATCAATTAGTGCCACTTCCTCAGTTCAATCTATCGTTTGGGATTGAAGCGATGTAGTTATTATCATTCGAACCCTAATCTCCATTACCGTTAATACTACCTTACGTCTACCACTATATGATTTGAATTGATGATTGCGTTTTTGTTCTAGTGGGGTATGGCAACTTGAACTGATGTACGCACGTACGAAAATATACATTGTAGCTGACTGACAGATAACCTTTGATCCCTTATATTAGATTGAAAACAATGAGTATATGACTTCGTAAGTTTCATGCAATAGTGTATTGAATAAATATCCTTCATCAGGTGAAGACGCTGACAAAATGCATTGTCTTCTGACCACCCTGAGCAACTATGCAAGCAAGTTCGGATGCGGTTTCCCCTCTCGAAGTGCAAAATGTTGCTTCAAGATTGGGTTGAGTCGGCACTTGAACTAGTGATAGGGATTGAAGTAGTCGAACGTGTAGACCGCTTCACTTATCTGGAGATTCTCGTCAGTGCCGATGGCCAGGTGACTGACGAAATCTCAGTACGGACAAGCAGGCTCGAATGGTTTTTACTAACTTGCGTGACTTGTGGCGTAGGCAAGATATCTGTTCGCCAACCAAAGGACGAGTGTATTGAGCCGTAGTTCGCTCCGTCCTACAGTAATAATCTGAAACATGGCAGGTAAGAGCAGATGAAATTCGTAGATTGCTTGTCTTCAATCATAGGTGTCCCTACCGAAGCTGCTACCTTGACGTGGTGGTCGGGCTTGCCTATCGTGATGACCCAACCGAGCTATACTGGCTGGAACATATGTTCCTGCAGGTCCTACCATGCCAGGCAGGTCGATTGGAGAACGATGAGACTAAAAGCAGCTACCCAAGGTCTGAGGGCGAAGTCGTACTGCTGACTGCAGAGGGGTGTGACAGCAGTAAGGTGTTTCCCTCGGACAACCAGCATCTGCAGCGATGCTGCCTTCTCACAAGGAAGGAAGGGTTAGAAAAGGTCGGCCCTAAAAATGTCACACCTCCCCTACCTCACGGATTTCCGTCTCCTCGGGTAAGGGTACCCACTAAGGGCCTTTAAGAACGGAGCTAATCCTCAAACAACGTTTCATAAAAAGGCCGTGCGTGACCGGCCTGAAGCAGTTGTTCCTTGGACTCTGCGGTCACGCACCAACACTAATCCATCTTCCTTTTCAGGTTCCTCAAGAAACAACCTTCCACGGTGTGGGCAGCCGGGAAGTGATAACCGCCCTCATACCCGTAACAGCACACGAGACCAAATTGTTCAAAATCAAATCCTTCCTAAATTCCCTAATACCTCTCTTATCTCCACAACTAACTCTTCTCACATTCATTTATTACAGTGCACAGCTAATGCAAACGATGCGAGTTTGCGAAACGTCGTTCCTGGTCTCCTTAAACCCCGTTCCAAACTACATGTTGGAGCATTCAATGTACGGACATTGTGTCAAATAGGGCAACAGGCATCATTAGCTAGGACTTTAGAATCTCGTTCCATCGATGTGTGCTGCGTCTCGGAAACGCGCATACAGGATCCGAGTAGCATCACTCATTTGACCTCACCATGTCAAGATAAAGAAGCAGCTCGATTTACCCTTCGTGTATCCGGTAGCCCTGATGCTGCTTCTAGGGGCCTCGCCGGTGTAGGTATAGCATTGAGTCGTAGGGCAGAACAATCTCTCCTTGACTGGATCCCTGTAGATAGTCGCTTGTGCGCCGTCCGACTGAACGGGACAGTAAGGACTCGGAAAGATAGGGACACTCGCCGTTGCCTCTTCGTCATATCAGCCTACGCCCCCACTGACTGCAGTCCAGATGATGTAAAAGATGAGTTTTACAGAAAGCTTTCGGACCTCCTCCAAAAAGTTAAGCGCTCTGATATAGTTATAATGGCTGGTGACTTCAATGCACAAGTAGGTAGACTAAGTGAAAATGAAAGACACCTAGGTGGATGTTACGGTCTCGCGGCTCAAAGAACAGACAATGGCGACCGTCTGTTGCAACTGTGCTCAGATAACCAACTATTTCTAGCAAACACTAATTTTAAGCATAAGGAAAAACACCTTTTGACCTGGCGACCTCCAAAGTCGTCTCAACGTTGGACACAACTAGATCATATCGCCATCAGCCACCGATGGAGGGGTTCGATAGAGGACTGTCGCTCGTTCTGGGGCACATGTTTAGATTCAGATCATGCCCTAGTGCAAGCACGTATTTGTTTGAGGCTTACTGGACGTAGGAAAGACACCGTAAGGAAGCCTCCTAGGGCTTTACTTGATGATAATCAAGCTAAGAAAATATTTCAGGAGGAACTAGAAAAACAGTTAGGCGGCCATGCAAGTGATTCCCATCCTGAAGCAGGTTGGAATCATATCAAGAAGGCTGTGGAAACAGCAATGGTATCTGCTAGCAAGGTAAACCACAAGGCTAGGATGAAGCAGTGGGTTTCAGTCGCATCCACCGAACTGATGGATGCTCGAAAACTCATCCCACCTGACTCTGAACATGATGAAGAGCGTAGTCAGCTTAGGCGCAGACTTATAAAAAGCCTACGTAACGACCGTGAACAGTGGTGGGTGGCGAAAGCAAAAGCGATGGCAAACGCAGCGGCGATAGGCAACAGTAGACAACTTTTCCGCCTTATTAAAGAAACCGGTATTAGGAACCCGAATGTGAGTGAGACTATCTCGGAAAAGGATGGTCTTATTATCTATTCTCAATCTAGGAGGCTGGACCGATGGGCAGAACACTTTAGGGATCAGTTCAACTGGCCACGAGCCACACTTCGGTTGCCCACGATCACCAGTCATCCTGAATGGCAAATCGATTCAAGTCCTCCCAGTTTACATAGTCGTGTTCCTGGACCTTAAGGCGGCATTCGACTCTGTGGATCGTGAGGTTCTGTGGCAGTGTCTGTCATTGAAAGGTGTACCAAAGAAGTACATTAACCTTATACAAGCACTCTACTCGAACACCACTGGTCGGGTGAGAGCATATGGCGAACTGTCATCTGAATTCTCTACATCAAGTGGTGTCCGTCAGGGCTGTCCACTCTCTCCATTCTTGTTTAACTTTGTCGTAGACATCCTGTTAGAGTTAACATTAAGCTCGTCAGATTTTTCAGGGGTTGACCTTTTACCAGGAAAGTCGCCTACTGATCTAGAATATGCCGATGACATAGTTCTATTCGGTGAAGACGCTGACAAAATGCAGAGTCTTCTGACTACCATGAGCAACAATGCGAGCATGTTCGGGATGCGGTTTTCCCCCTCGAAATGCAAAATGTTGCTTCAAGACTGGGTTGCATCGGCACCTGAACTAGTGATAGGAAGTGAAGTAGTCGAGCGTGTTGATAACTTCACTTATCTGGGGAGTCTCATCAGTGCTAACGGTCTGGTGACTGACGAAATCTCAGCTCGGATACAGAAAGCTCGATTGGCCTTTGCCAACCTGCGTCACTTATGGCGTAGGCGTGATATCCGTTCGCTAACCAAAGGGCGGGTGTACTGCGCAGCAGTTCGTTCCGTTCTCTTATATGGCTGTGAAACATGGCCGTTAAGAGTAGAAGATGTTCGTAGGTTACTAGTATTCGATCATAGATGTTTAAGAAGCATTGCTCGTATATCGTGAGACAGCCGAGTAAGCAATGCTGTCGTTAGGAAACGAGTACTAGGTAAGGATGGCAGATCAATAGATGAAGTGGTGAAACTTCATCAGTTGAGGTGGTTGGGACATGTGTTACGTATGCCTAACCACCGACTGCCTCGACGAGCTATGTTTTGTGGCGTAGGAGTAGGTTGGGAGAAAGTTAGGGGCGGGCAGACCAAAACGTGGCACAAATCCATGAAGTCTCTGACAAGTAGACTGAGTTATGTTGGTAGATGTAGACTACCTGGTTGGGGTCCGCGAGACGAAAGTCATCGATGGCTAGAGACCTTGAACGACATGGCTCAAAATCGTTTGCAATGGCGCAGGTGCATCCACTCTTTGAGCTCTCTCAAATCCTAATGTTCTGGATTAGCCAGCACCTCTACCTTTGTCTTTCTAACCTTATCTCACTGAATTATATTTTTTGAATAATATCTTCAAACCCTAGTCTTCTTTATTAACATTAATACCTCTACTATCTTTATCACTATGGGATTTGAACTGACATTTGCGTTTCTGTGCTAATAATGTGGTATGGCAACATGAACTTATGTACATACGTACGCAGTTCTACGTTGCAACTGACTGACTGACTGAATCATAGGTGTCTCCGAAGCATTGCTTGTATATCCTGTGACAACTAAGTAAGCAGTGCTGTTGTTAGGAAACTGATCCCATCTGCGTATGGCGAATCAATAGGTGAAGTAGTTAAAGTTCAGTTGAAGTCAGTAAATTACAACGTAGAACTTCGTAGGTAAGTATACCAGTTCAAGTTGCCATACCACATTGGCACAGAGATATAATTGTCAATTCAAATGCTATAGTAGTAGTACACTGCATTTTGTCAGTGTCTTCACCAAATAGAGCTATGTCATCGGCATATTCTAATTCAATAGGCGAGCCTGCCGGTAGGAAGATAATGTTATCTCTAGCAGCATGTCTATGACAAAATTGAAAAAGAATGGGGAAAGTGGACACCCCTGACGGACACCACACGAAGTAGAGAATTCCGGTGACAGTTCGCCATAAGCTCTCGCTGGACCAGTGGTGTCCTAGTAGAGAGCTTGTATAAAGTAATCTACTTCGGTACACACTTTAATGATAGGCACTGCCACAGAACCTCACGATCCACAGAGTCAAATGCCTGCTTAAGGTCCACGGAGACAACTATTGTCGGACGCCTGTGTATCCGTGTTGCAGTGTGAAGATGTGGTTTATACAGCCACGTCCAGATTGTAAACCAACCTGGTTTTCTCTAGTCTGCTCTTCACGAGCTTTCGTTAAACGCCGAAGTATTATTGAGTCCAATATTTTAGATACTATATTATTTAGACTGATTCCCCTGTGATTGTCACAAGAAGACTTTTGTGCTTTCTTATAGATTGGGACAATCAG